GAATCAATCTAGAACTAAGAAATTTCCTGACAGTGAGAACAATTAATCAGTGGAACGGAAGTTGCCTCCAGAAGTTGTGGATGCTCCAACACTGGAAGTTTTTAAGAAAAGATTAGACAGCCACTTGTCCAGAATAGTGTAGGGTTCCTGCTGGAGCAGGGGGTTGGACTAGAAGACCTCCAAGGTCCCTTCCACCTTTTTTATTCTGTAATTCTAATTCTGCTTTCCAGAAGGGGTGGGGGGGGGGAGGAACAGGATTTCTGCAGGTGTCTGGACCCTCCTTGGCTTGGCAGCAGCTGAGGTGGCTGCTGTTTGCCCTCCGGCTGGCTGAACCCAGCCCAGCAACCTCCCGGCAGCGCTGGCTGGCTGGCTGGCGTGTGCCGCTTCCCCACCCGGCCTTTTCATGTGGCTTTCCTGCTCTCTTTTTTCTAAAACCCCCGTGCGGTTGCATCAGATCGAGGCAGCCTTCCTCGGGTTTTCTCATGCCTCTTTCTGCTGACTCACAGAGTAACTCGCTGGAGGGAGGGCGAAGGAGCCCCAAAGCTCAGGCCGTTCCCCCACCCCAGGAGAGGGGACCGAAGCAAGGAGGACTCCCGGGGGCCTTGTGAGTGTGTCGGAGCTACTGCCTTTCTCCTTCGGCTCGCCTCCCTTCGCCCTCTCCCCCCAGCCCAGGCACGTAAGGTGGGCTACATCTTGCCCTTCGGTCTGGATCGAGGCGAAGGCTGTTAACTGGGGAGGGGGCTTGAGATAAAACTCTTTCTCTCAGGGATGCCTCGTGGTTGGGGTCTGCGGGACTCGAGAAGTGGGGAGGGGTCCCCTTGCGGGAATTTGGAGGAGGGGGATCTGCATCACCTCCCGGGAAAAAAGACAAAGTGGGTGGGATCGCTTGCTTGGGCTATTTTGGTCCAGTTTTCAGGAGGGCAGGGCAAAAAGTGAGGAATTGTGGAAAGGGGTCTTCTCTGAAGCTTTCCTGCTGCCCCCAACTTGATTCTGGGAATCTGGAGAACTGAGTTTGCACTGAAAGGAAGCCAGTAGATTTTCCCCTAAGGGCTGATTGCCACCCTTTGGAGAGTGAATAATTGGTCCAGGAGGTACAGTAGGTGCAGAGAACATGGCTGTCCAGTTATGGTCCTCTGGCTCTCCTTGCTCCGATTGTCCCTCCCGCCCTACGCAGCTCTGGAGACTTTTTATTTTTATGGGCTCCTTTTTATGCTGTGACTCGATTCCACTCTTTCTCGGTCTGCTTTGTTCTTTCCTCTTTTCCCTGAACCTTGGATTCCGATGCTGGAGGCACCTTCCCCATCCTGCTGGCCTTCCTCTTGGGATAGATAATTAATATAAACAAGGTAAACAAAATAAGATAAAATCATGGAATCGTAACCAGGCTGCCTGAGGGATGTGACAGTAGTTGAAATGCCACACCATCTGGAGGGCACCAACTTGGGCAAGGCTGGCCAAACCCTCCTCAACTCTTAATTTCTTCTAAGTTTCCAGACCGTCAATGCCCAGAATCCTTAGCAATGGCCCTGCTAGCTGAGAAATCCTGAGGATTGAGCTCTGTATCTCTGGAGGCATCTTTCAATTTCCAGCCTTCCTAGCAAGGATGGTCACGTTGTCGCGTCTGAAAAATCTGGGAGTTGATGACCACGCATCTGGGGTCTGTTTTAGGTTTGAGAAGGTTTTTCTCAACCTGTCAATGCTTGGAGTGGGGAAATGATAGTCATGGGAACCTGATCCCCTTGTGATTCTGGATCCCAGTTGCCCCCCCACACACACACACACTTCTCAAATAAACCTGGTTTCCTTTTATTGGTGAAGACCAAGCCTAGGCAGAGAAGCTATCAAATTGCAGCATTTCACAGCAGACTGCAGAATTACATTACGTCTCTCCCCCTGGGGCAGGGAGCTTTCCCTTGAGGGAATCTGTCATAGGATGCCCAAAGTTTTGGCACCCAAGAAAATGCATTTACGGAAGGAGTCCCCCCCACCTTCAATGGGCAGGATCCCTTCACTCAAAACAAGGCTGGCTCAGGAGTTTGCATTGTGCCAAGGGACACATTTCTTTCTGCAGCCGGCCGGGGCGGGTGGGCTGAACAAGGAAAGGACTGTCTTGGAGAAAGATGGCGTTGGGGCACAGATGCCACCTGGCGGGCATGCAAAACGCACAGCCCAGTTAACAGCCAAATGGGATGCAGTTGCTGCAGAAGTAACAACTGTGGCCAGAAAGGTCATAAAATGGGGCAAAAATTCACTTAACACATGTCTCATTTAGCCACAGAAATTTGGGGGCTCGGTGGTGGTCGTAAGCCGAGGACTACCTTATACTGCTATTCTGTCCATTCACCCCGGTTCCTCTCTTCCGGTTGTCTCCGAACTCCCACTTTGGGCTGGGAGGGGGGGTTTGGTTAGGATTGGGGAACCCCCCAAAAGCTGCTTTCTTGGAAGGATGGCCCGGGACAGTTTACGGAGAAGCCGGTGGGCGAGCAACTAATTCTCGCAATTCCATGTAATGTCTGTATATATTAACCCATATAATATGGCTGTGGTGTCGTTATTTATCCTTCTTATTATCTTCTTTAACCTCCCCCTTGTATTGGTATTATGATTCGTTGCACACAGTCAGCCAGATGTTCAGATTATATTTGGCATTTTTGTCTGTTTATCGAGTCCATCCCAAGGACCTGGGATAGGTGATGGTTGACGCTTTATGACGTTAGGGGGATCGTCACAGGATGAAAGTTGTTCCAAGCACAGCTGCCTTTTGCAATTGACCGATGGGGGTTCAAGGGGAGCTCCAGATGTTTTCGAATTGCACTCCAGGCGCTTATTATATTGGTGCTCCCTTTGCTTTCTTTTGCCACCATCGTTTTATTTCTATCCGCAGGTTTTTATATTTTGTGATCTCCAGTACTTTCTCTTCTGTTTTGCTGTCTCCGGGAACTGCCATATCCACTACCCAGACTTTTTTTTTGTCTCTGTTGTTAAAGTCTGGGGTGTTGTGTGACAGATGCCTGTCTGTTCGAATTCTAAAGTCCCAGAGCAATTTAGCTTTTTAATTTTCTATTACTTTTCTCTGTCTTATGGTTCTCCCCCCCCCCCAGTTCTTGCTTGTAGGCAAACGGTATTTCTTGCAGATCTTCTAATGCAGCATTATTATTGTTGTTGTTGTTATTGTTATTATTATGGGTTATTTTCACTGCTGCTTTTGCGGGTGTGACTTCTGTGCTTCTGTGCCGGAGACGAATTCCTTGTGTGTCTCATCCCACTTGGCCAAATAAAGCCATTCAATTCAATTCAATTCCCCTCCATCCAGGAGGGGGTTAACCCAAAAGCTGCATCAGCACTGCAGATTGCTTGAAAGACTTGGAACTGCTCTGACACTCCAAATGTCCTAGAGAGTGGCAGAGGAGGAGGAGGAGGAGGCAATTCATATGCAAAACCCGCACCATAAATCCCCCCCCCCCAAAAAAAAGTGAAAAGGTGGACGAGGGGGAGGAGGAGGGGAAGAAGAAAGAGGAAAGAAAGAAAACCGGCACCCGGTGGTGGCTGGTGGGGCATCGTCTGAGCGCTTCATCAGCAGAGTGCAGTATATCTGCCATCTTTGTTTGGGCTGCAGTGACTCATCAGAAGTCTCTCTTGAACCAAGACTTCACAGCATTTCCTTGGCATTGATTCATTCTCTCCCCCCCCCCTTCTTTCTTCCTTTCTCTTGCTCTCTCCTCTCTCCCTCTCTCTGCCCCCCCCCCCTTTTCTCTGCTTTCTCCGCTTCGAAATTGGCACTTGCACCGGGAATCCTTATCAAAGGCTGTTATTCATTGCAGAGAACCGGCTGAACCGTTCAACTCCCATCCAGCCACCGGGACTCCCAGCCCTGGATTTTACTACTGCTGCTGCTGCTGCTAGAGAAATTGGACTTCGCTGAAAAACCAGGAGCTCCTCACCGCCCGGGCGAAGGAAGGGACTGGGAAGGGATGCCCCCTTGCTTCCTTTGCCCCGTCCTCCTTCCCTCGGCTTAGGGGACCCTCCCAGGAAGAGCCGAGCTCCGGTTTCCATCCCTGTTAAAGGTACGTCCGTCCACGGGAAAGCAGGCAGACACGGATCTGAGCAGAGCAGAAGTTTCCCGCACGGGGGTACGCGTGGCATCGGCTGGCCCCCAGAGATGGCTGCCCAGAATGGGCACCAGGGATGCAGTTATCTCCTCGAAAGCTCCTTTGGTGGGTTTTTTTTTCTTTTTCCCCCAGCTCTTAATTCCAGCCCCCCCCCTCCTCTTGGGAAAATGCCTCTTTCTCGGCAGGGAGGACCCCCAGAGTTGAAATGTGATGGGGTCTATAGGTGGGTGGGCTTGGGAGGGGGGTTGTTGCAGCCCTGCCTGACCCCCATCAGAGGCCCCAGCTGGGGAAAGCCTCGCTCTGCCTGCCAAAGTCAAATACCGCTGAATTTCTTTCGGAGCAGCTGAAGATGCCCACTTCCTTCTCCCGGGTTTTGCTGCACGCAGGGCGAAAGCATCCCTTGTCACAGTTTGGGATGCCAGGCAGAGAGCCCGGCAGAGATCCATAGAAGTGCCTCCTCCCCCCCCCACCCTCGTTGTTGTCGCTTTTTTGCATGTCTCAATATGTGACTCGGTGGCTTTCCACTTTCTGATAAGACCTTGCTTGTCAGAAAGTCGCAAAAGCCGATCACATGACCCCGGGCGGGACACAGCGGCCGTCGTAAATACGAGTCAGTTGCCCAGCGTCCGAATTTTGATCTCCTGACCCTGGAGATGCTGCAACGGTCGTGTGAAAAAAGGTCGGAGTCAGCGCTGACTTTTTTCAGTGCCGTTGTAACCTCAAGCGGTCACTAAACGAACTGTTGTAAGCCGAGGACTACCTACATTCAGTTTTCTTATTGGCGCCCAACTCAGCCAAGTGTGTTTCTCTCCCTCTCTTCCCCCCCCCGCCCCCACAGATGCACTTTGTGTCGGACGCTGTCGCGCTGTGTGTGTAAGGCTGGGGCGAGACATGTCGCAGATGCTGCACATCGAGATCCCCAATTTTGGGAACACCGTGCTGGGATCCCTGAACGAGCAGCGGCTGCTGGGGCTCTACTGCGATGTCTCCATCGTGGTCAAGGGCCAGGCCTTCAAGGCCCACCGGGCAGTGCTGGCCGCCAGCAGCCTGTACTTCCGGGACCTCTTCAGCGGGAACAGCAAGAGTGCGTTTGAGCTGCCCAGCTCCGTCCCGGCCACCTGCTTCCAGCAAATCCTCTCCTTCTGCTACACCGGCAAGCTGACCATGGCAGCCAGCGAGCAGCTGGTGGTGATGTACACGGCGGGATTCCTGCAAATCCAGCACATTGTGGAGAAAGGGACCGACCTCATGTTCAAGGTCAGCTCCCCCCACTGTGACTCTCAGACGGCCATGATCGAAGAGGCCGGCTCGGAGCCCCAGAGCCCCTGCAACCCCGTGCAGATGGCCTCCATGCCTTACGTCATGTCCCCTTCGGTACCCATCCCGCTCCTCACCCGGGTCAAGCACGAGAACCCGGAGCAGCAGACGCCGCTGCCGGGACTGCCGGCCAAGAGGTCCCTGGAGGGGGGCCTGCGAGACACGGCGGCGGGCAGCTCCTCGGGCACCACGGCGGTCAAGCTGTCCCGCGTCTCCTACTACGGGGTGCCCAGCCTCGCCCCGCTCATCTCCAGCATCTCGCAGGCTCCGTATGTCCAGGGAGAGCGGACGAGTCCCGGGGCCAGCAGCATCCCCACCACGGACAGCCCCACGTCCTACCACAACGAAGAGGATGAGGAGGATGACGAAGCCTACGACACCATGACGGAAGAGCAGTACGGGCAGATGTACATCAAGTCTACAGGCAGCTATGCAGGTAATCCTATTTGCTTCCCCTTCCCCATACGCTTCACAGAATAGCAAAGTTGGAAGAGACCTTGGAGGTCTTCTAGTCCAACCCCCCGCTCAGACAGGAAACCCTATCCCATTTCAGACAAATGGCGGTCCAGTCTCTTCTTAAAAGCCTCCAGTGTTGGAGCATCCACAGCTTCTGGAGGCAAGCCGTTCCACTGATTAGTTGTTCTCCCTGTCAGGAAATTTCTCCTTAGTTCCAGGTTGCTTCTCTCCTTGATGAGTTTCCATCCGTTGTTTCTTGTTTTGCCTTCTGGTGCTTTGGAAAATAAGTTGACCCCGTCTTCTTTGCAGCAGCCCCTCAAATATTGGAGCCCTGCTATCATGTCTCCTCCCCTGGTCCTTCCAGAGCTTGTTGTCTACCTCTTCTGAACTCTTTCTTTATCTCCTCTGCTTTTATGCTGAGATGGATCTCAAATGTTGGCTTGGGCCATTTTGGGGGCAACACTGAACTGTGGTTCAGGAGAGCGGTGCTTTTCTGACTTTGGGTGGAAGAAATATTGAGCGTTTGGGGTTTTAGTGTTGAACGTGAAAAGTCTCTGGTTATATTTGCAGCCTGCTCAGGGGAAGCCACTAGTCTGAGATCTTGAGAAAGCCGACCAGGCAGTCAAAAGAAATGGATTGGCTTGTTTGACGATCATTGTCAAATCTTGGTTCTTTATTCTTCTTCCTCCCTCCCCGGTGGGTTTAAGAGTCCTCAACCCCAAGATTGCTGATAAGTAGCAATGAAATTGGGTCTTCCGAGAGTGAAGAAGGGCTGACCCTGCAGAAAACAGGATCCTTTGAGTCGAGCTCATCCTCTGGTGACTTCAAGCTGTTTGTAAAAATAATAAAGACAAGATACAAACAATTAAAATAAAAACCATAATAGTGATTTGCAGCAAGGTGCAGTCAACGCTGGGCCCCCGTCGTCCCCCCCACTAAAAAGCAACACCAGGAGCTGATTTTCACACCTTGCGCCATGCCAGAAAAGAACCAAGGTTACATCTCAAACCAACTCTTTGCGAGAACAATTTTTCACACTGACCCCCCCCCCCCACAATTCCCGAGTGTGACTTTTCTCCTCCTCCCCCTCCTCTTTTCCAAGGGCCTCCAGAGAAGCCGGAGCAAATTCCCGTGGAGAGCCGCTCCTGCGTCCTGATACGGCGCGATTTGGTGGCTCTTCCGGCGAGTCTGATCAGCCAGATCGGTTACCGCTGCCACCCGAAGCTCTACTCGGAAGGGGATCCCGGAGAAAAACTTGAACTGGTTGGAGGTATTTATGAACAGGACCTCTCTCTGGGTAGGGCCAAGCAAAGTTGCCAAGGTTGAAGAACGCGGGCATGGGCTATACAATGAATGGATTTTATTTTGGTTTATTTTGGCTGCAATGCTTGATGGTTATTTAGGGGGAAAAGTCCAGGGAGAAAGTTAGTCTCTTACTTCCAAACTTTGCTCAACCAGGGTCTTGTAGGTCTTGCCTTACAATACGGGTTATCCTCGAATTACAACCACATTCGGGACCATCAATTCCATTTCTAAGCAAGGCAGTCGTTAAGTGACTTTTGCACGAAGCTACGACCCCTTTGCCAGGGCCGTGTGGCCAGAGGGATGCTGTGGCATTCACAAGTAGGAGGACTGACCAGGCTATTTGTTTTCCGTGCTGGTGTAATAAATGTTGTAAGCTAGCTGTGCCTCAGTTGGATAAACGAAATAATGAACTAAAAGGTTTTGGTTTGGCAAACAAATTCCTTCTTCCTCTGACTGGCCTCTGCTTTTACACTCTGCCCGTGGCCTTGAGAGGCAGGTGTTCCTCAGGGGCTGAGAACACGCAGCGTCCCTCAGTAGTACTTTCGAGCTGGGTAATTGCTCTGCTGGGAATTACTGATTTTATTTATTTTTTTAAAGCATCTAATTGAATTCTCTCACACTCCCTTCGTCCCTCCCTTTCCCTGCTTCTTCCAAAGATCACGTAGATGTCTAGGTGGTCACGAGAAACAAAGGACACCAAATTGTGTTGGTTGCTTTGCTACACAGCTATACAGGTTGTCCTCGACTTACGGCCATAATTGAGCCCCAAAATTTGTTGTTATGTGAGTTTTGCCCTATTTTGCCACCTTTTCACCCTAGTTGTTAAGCCATTCCACTGATGGATTGTTCTCACGGTCAGGAAATTCCTCCTTAGTTCTAGGCTGTCTCTCTCTTTAAAGATCTTCCATCCGTTGCTTCTTGCCGTGCTTTCAGGGGCTTTGGAGAAGAGGTGGACCCCCCTCTTCTTTGGGGCAGCCCCTCAAATGTTGGGAGATTGCCATCGTGTCACCCCAGTCCTTCTTTTCACTAGATTAAAGTAGACAATGCAAGTTTTCATGGTTGTGAAGAAGGAGTATTAGCAGCAGAGGTTGTAGGAATTCAGTTCCCCTTGTCATCCAATACAACGGTGGTGTTTGCCCTTTTGTCCAACCACCATTCATCTCAGTTAATACAGGCCTGGCCGGTTGGAGGCTCAACATAGACTTCAGCTGGTTGGAGAAGGTCCAGTTGTCCTTGAGGGAGGCCTTGAACTCCTTTCTCCCAGCTGCCGATCCAGCGCCTTCACCTCTTCTCCACGGGTGGAGGCCTGTGGGAAGCTGGGAGTTGTAGTTCCCTCCAGTGCACCCAGCCAAGTCAGAGGAATGGCCGATGCCCCGTGTCTTCTGGAGGTGGTCATCCTATGGAAGTCCACCTTCCCAGCTGTTTGGAAGCATCTCGGTGTCGACGTGGTTGTGTCTGTCCCAAGGTCTGGCTGCTTAGATTGGTCCCAGATGTGGTTTCTCCAGGGCTGCAAAAGTTCCAGCATCTGGGATGGTGGACAGTGGCCGCAGCTGCTTAGCCTCTTCTCCTCCTTCTCCTCCCCTTCTTTCTCCTAGGTTCTGGGGTTTACATCACCCGAGGACAGCTCATGAACTGTCACCTCTGTGCAGGTGTGAAACACAAAGTCCTCCTCCGACGTCTCCTGGCCACATTCTTCGACAGGTAGGGTGACCATCATCACCTGCACTGCCCGTCATTTTCTGTCTGGGTAAAAATACTTTCCTACAGCCAGAAAAGAACGGCAAAGACCTTTGTGGGGTTGGAGCAGAAGCCAGAAGAACCACTCTGAAAACCAGGAAGGTTAGGCAGGACTAGAACTCGTCTCCTGGTGATTGGCCGACGGTCACTCAGCTGGCTTTCATGTCTAAGGTGGGACTGCCTTGGGCTCCATCTTTAAACGAGGGTGGGTGGGTTAGGATCTGCCCGGAGCCCTCCGGCTCTTTTGCCCAGCCGTGGGAGACGCTGGCTTTGGGGAGATTTTGTCCTGAGGTCAGACAGGTGGACTTGCAGCTCCCAGAATTCCTCAGCCAGCCTGGCCCTTGTGGAGAATTCTGGGAAATGAAATCCACCCATCTGGCGGACACTGCGTACGGGAGGAGAGTGGAGGTCCTTGCATAAAATAACATTAGAAGGCTTTTTTTATCCGGTTGCTCAATCAAAAACTTTTTTGGTTCAATGAAAAAAATTTTCACTAGGCCCTTACGACCACTAAGACCTAAAAAAAAAAGTGAAAATTCTAGACACCTGAAGTCAAGGGTCTTAAATCGGTCGTTCCTGAAGTCAAGGGTCTTAAATCGGTCGTTCCGATTTATTCACCAACATTCAAAACCGGATGGAAAAGGACTCCCAAATTCCCCCCCCCCCCCCTGCTTCTTCTGGAAACAGGAACACCTTGGCCAACAGCTGCGGAACAGGAATCCGCTCTTCCACCAGTGACCCCAGCCGGAAACCCCTGGAGAGCCGGGTGCTTAACGCTGTGAAATGTAAGTAGGCGGATACAGACGGCCCTTTGGGGACCTGGTGATTATTTTAATCTTTTCTAAAACCACGCAGAGGAAAAGGTGGATTTATCTCCGACCTCTTGCTAGCGAGAGGTGCTTAAAATGGAGCAGTCAACAGTCAGCTGTTGCCCAATTCTCCTTCCATTGGGATGGGGGAGGGGGGAATTTTGGATGGGTGGAGAGAAATAAGAAAGAAAGAAAGAAAGAAAGAAAGAAAGAAAGGAAGAAAGAAAGAAAGAAAGAGGAAGGAAGGAAGGAAGGAAGGAAGGAAAGAAAGAAAGAAAGAAAGAAAGAAAGAAAGAAAGAAAGAAAGAAAGAAAGAACAGACAGACTTTCCAGAACAGAATCCCCACCATGTCCTATCTAGACAGCCACAAATCTCCTCAAAGCCTTTTCATTTCTTGATCCTCACTTCCTGAGGAGAAGCCCCCGGGGACCTACTTGCCCAGCCCACCCCGTGAGTTGCCCTGGCAGCCTCTTCCCGCTCTCGGCTAACCCCCCACCCCCACCCCCCCTGTCTTTGCAGTGTATTGTCAGAATTTTGCCCCCAGTTTCAAGGAGAGTGAGATGAACGTCATCGCGGCCGACATGTGCACCAACGCCCGCCGGGTGCGCAAGCGGTGGCTTCCCAAGATTAAGTCCATGCTGCCCGAGGGGATGGAGATGTACCGTTCCGTCATGGGCTCCACCACCACCAATGTCCTCCTGGATCCCGAATTCCAGCCTTCCTCCGCTCAGATGTTTGAACAACGGATCTATGCAGAAAGGAGAGGCGATTCCGGGACGATCGTGGCCCTCAGAACTAACACCGTCACGGTTGACCAGAGCAACGGGACCGGCCCCTTGTTTGAGCCGACCGAGGAGGGCGAAGGGGCCAGCTCGGTCATCCAGGAGTCTGCCGGGCCAGAAGCCATGGCTTCCGACACCCAAAGCACCTCCCAGCCCTTCGAAGAAGGACCGGGGTCCCCCAGCCGGCCGGAGACGCCTGCGGCGAGGCCAGAGGCGGCCTACGGGGGGCCCTTATGAACCAGACCGCTCTCTGGAAGGATCTGTAATCCTAAAGCTGCTTGCATGTTCTTATTAATTACAAAAGAAACAAAACACACACACGTGATCAAACCATTTACCTACTGAACTGCTACCGTTGCCTGAGAAAATTTGATTTTTTTTTAGTCTGTTCGTATTTAGGATCCCTGAAGGCGTGGCCCGGTGGGAAGACCTCCTTGTTCCCAGATCAGTACAGACAGGAGTAGCGGGGTTCCTTCCCTCCAAGAATAAGGAACGAGGCCATGTCCACCCCCACCGCCGCCCTGTTCAGCAACAAAGAACCAGCCGTCTGGGCTTGGGAGAAGTTAGTGGTGATCGTTATCCTGGTTTGATTCGGTTCAGCTTGGAGCAGGTCCTTGGCTCGGATCTCCGGGTGGAATCCTTGGCCGGAAGTCTGCATTGTTGAGCATCCCGGAGAAACTCACCCGAGCAGGCTGTAGTAAATGGGGAGCTGCGTTCCCCACACTAACGGGCATAAAAAGTTGGGATCTCTTTCCTTTCCGCCATTCCTCTCTTCCAACTCCGTCGTCCGGCTTTCTAATCTTGCGAAGAAAAGGGTTGGCTCCTTCCCGTTTGCGAGGAAGCTCTGAGCAAGAGGCACCCTGAGTTTAAGGCAGTTTGAGATGTCTAGGTTTTCTGCCCGGAGCACTTTAAGCTTGGCCACTGTAAGACCTGCGGACTTCAACTCCCAGAATTCCCCAGCCGGCACAGAATTCTGGGAGTTGAAGTCTATACATCTTAAAGTGACCGCCAAGATTGAGAAAGGTTGGGATAAAGCGATTTGAAAGCAATGCAGTTGTTTGGCTCCTCAATCTGAAGCGGCCCTGCTTAGTTGCTCAGGGCAAAATGGAGAGTTGAGTGCATTATGGGGGTGGGGGTGATGTATGGGAGGGAACCATAGGCTTCTTGGCTCTTTTTCCCGGGAATGGGGGAGCTACTTATAGCGAAATGCATGCCATTTGGCCAAGGAGATGACTGTAGCTCGTGTGGACTTTTTTCCCCATTGCATTTGAGTCTAACTTTAGGCGAGGAAGGAAGAATCGCTGGCTTTGCGTTGGAGATTGTGCACCCTAGGGGAATAGCCGGATTTCCCCCCCCCCCCCAAAAAAAATCCCTTCGGTCATTCTCCCAAACGACGACGGGAAGACCTAATCCGCTTGTGGCAAGACTTCCGTTTTGAAAAGGTTGCGGTTGTGGTAGGCAACACAGCCTCCAAATATGGCTGCTTTGCTTGGCATTGAGCTTCAGGGAGGTGAAGGAGGAGGCAGCCCGTCTCCTCTTGGGGATTTCAAGGACTTTTCGATTTATTTTCCTGGCAGCAATAAGGGATTAATTTTTTTTTTTAAAAAAAAATGGCCCGGCCCAGCCCAGCCGACAATACTGGGATCTCCTCCTGGTTTCCTTTCCCTTTCCCTAGCCAAATCCACCTGCGCTTAGCTTCTTTTGCAACCAGCCAGGGGGGGCTCATCCATCCATCCATCCATCCTGGTTCCCTCCCTCCGTCCCCCCCCCCCGGTAAAAGTCGCAGGACGAAAGCAAATACTTGAACGGCTCAGAACAGGATCCGCAGAGAGCATCGCGTTGCACAGTTCGAATATATTTTTGTATCAAGCACAATTTTATGTATGTCTTTCTTTTTGGGGGCGAGCTGGGGGGGGTGGGAAGAGGCGGGCTTGGATTTTCTCGGTGGCTTTTGACTTTCGGAGAAGAAGGAAAGAGGGGAAAGAGAAAAAAGAAAAGAAGGAAAAAAAAAAACCCTGAAGACAATGTGAACAGTTTTAAGGCAGGG